CTAAATTTGATGTGCGGCTGAGAAAGGAGAATAGTTTTAAGTCTAAACAACATTTTAACAATGTTACTGAACAATTTGTTTCCAAATTGCGTCTGTCGAGACGGAATTAGCAGCAAACTTGTCCACAGGATCCTCCCCTTCTAGAGAATACCCTGGAAACTGCAGCGGATGCTCTCAAAACTGTACTTCATAATTTCAAATTACTTTCAAATGTCTGAGTTTTTAGCTCTCCTTCGTTAAGTAAAGGTTGCGTCCATCTGAACAAATTTTGCATTTAAAAGGATTGGTAATGGTGGGAACTGAATATCTATTAAGATTTTGAACCGAGATTCGTTAAATACGTTTGGATTTGGATCCTATCATTACGAACTTCGGTGTTCTACACGCATGGTTGGGTCTATATTAGTTGCCTAAAAATATTTGTCTTGAAGATGTTAGATGTTTTTTGCTTGCAGCCGAGTCAAATTAATGTTGTTGTTGAAGACGTCCATTGGTAGCTTTGCTATGTGATTGTGATGCAAGAACCTACGTAAAGGATATACATTTGGACCTCTATTCAGCGGCACCGTATAAAGCTGTCGCCCTGTATTAAGCGGTCGGTTAAATTCCCGAATTTGTTTTCCACCAATCACTGTAATATCCACCTCTACTAAGCGATTACAGTCACTCTTTACTGAGTCCCAGTTTGTATTGTCGTTCACCTGTATTGAACAGTCACTTAAGGGGAACCCCTCAAATAGAACTTAGAAAAATAGTTTATATATGAGGAAGACTGTTCACTTAGAGCCACTGCAGCTTGACTAATTGTAAAAATAAGACGCCTGGCAAATTCTTCAACTTGTTACCGTTTAACCACCTGTAAATTTCGGAAACGTTGTATCATCAATACGTGGACTGCTGGTGTGAATTGAAATGCGGAGTGCGAGGTCCGCTCTACTGAAAGGAAACACTTTCAAGTGCCTCCCTGTAAATACTGGCACGCATATGCAAACTGAAGGACTGAGCGTTAAAAAGTTCATATTCTATCATGTACGAGTAAATATACAAGTAACGCTTGTTATGAGGTTTCTTTAAGTCTCTCCAATGCATCCGCCATAACATGAGTATCCCTTTACGGTGCTACTTTACAAGCGAACCTAATTATGTTTTATTTACCTCGGGTTGAAGACGCTTAATGAATATTCACTCATATTAAATAAACTATGGCAATGTCAGTGCACCATGATGAAGGGTTGTGCAAAGTGGTCACGAGAGTGAAGTTTTCCTTCTACAGCAGCTTCGGCTTGACCAATGACTTACATAAGTCAACTGGCTTTTAAAGCCACTAACGACCGTCTGTTACTTACCATGAATTGAGCTTGAAGAAACTTTGCCGATATCTAATAAATGAGGCGAATGTATGGATAATCGATGCAATCGCATAGGTTTAAATTTATTACTCACAGGTCAGTCAACTCGGTGTTGTAAGTGAAGACTTCAGGTGGTAGTGCTCCTATTTGGTTGTCATCCAAGTCCCTTTTAGAAGGATACATTCTTTTTAATCTGAAGTCTATTCTGGGCTATTAAGACCCAGATTTCAAGATTAAAACAATGTTTATAAAGATAGATGCCTTAAGTTAAACATAAAACAGAAACCCAGCCAATAGTGTTGTATATAAATTTGTATTCAGTCGTCCCAGCCCCACAAGTTCCCTACCAGTTCCGCAGGTTCTTACCCTTCTTGCTAATTTAACGGAGTCGACCACGTGATGTTTTACCTCAGTTTTGCCAGAAGCTAGGTTTTAACTCGGCTTACAGGTTCAGGTCATGACGGTTTTATAGTTTTGTGTACCACGCAGATAATGAAAGATTATGAGGGGGCAAAGAGAGGACAGGCGAAGGCGTAAGACAAACTTATGACTTATCTATTTTTGAACCGGGGAAGAGGGATTCCAGGTGCTAAATCCATTGTGCGACTGACAAGAGAGTAAACTTAAGTCCCTACCAATATATATAGGCTGGTCAGTTTAACGTCATGTGTTGCTCTTGATTACTTTTTTGTAGTTTACACATTTAGATTTTATGTGGCATCGAAAAACGTAGCTTTTAAGACTCAGTTGTTGACACCACCATCACTTTGTACTCAAGTCTTTTGAGGAGGTGATGGGATTGAAATCCTTCTCTACAAATGGCTAAGTTGTGTGCTCTCTAACATTACGTTAACTTGCGTCTCTTTGACCATTCAGTTTTTTTTAGCTGCTTACAAGTGAGTGTTGTGATAAATGCAATAAATAAAAATAATATAGTTTGAATAATTTCGAATATAAACCTGTTATGGCTTACTTACAAGTGAGTCAACTTGGCATTCATGGCGAAGACTCCTGGTGGCAGATCTTTGATTTGGTTATCATACAAGTTCCTACGAGAAGGATATACCCTTAATCTAATGTCTATTTCGAATTAATTTATCCCATTTTTCTAGACTTAGTCAGTGTTAAAAAAAATAATCATCACCGCAGGTTACGCGCGGAGCAGTGACCTAGGCAGTAGTACTTTTTAATAGGGGATGTTGTTTAGCGATGTGATCGTTCACATCATCATAATTAATTTGATTCTTGCCGCTCGTTTGTGTTCAGCTCGACATCTCCTACTGGTTTCTACTTGTGTCGTGCTGCTCAAACTGGAGCAAAGGCTCTCATAACTATACCTCTTAAATTCAAATTTGTTTTCGAAGCTTGCCCTCTGAGCTCTCCAGCGTTTAGTTTCTCTCACCATGTTTTAGATGGAGTGGAATTGATAAGAATGGGAATGGGATTTAAATCGTAAAATTTGGAACAGGGAAGTGGTAAATATGCGACCGACGACATAGGATTTTGGTCACTATAAACTCGATATCTTATAAGGTAATTCGGTAATTTTCGACTGGGTTGATAACGTAAATTGGCCACAGTTAAGAGTTTCGAAGCTGACGTCTCGAGCGTTAACCCTTCGTTAGAGCAAATGACCAGTTTCTTCCTTTCGAAACTTACCCCTTCCATCGATCCTTCATCTATATTTTATGCTTGCGGTGGGTCTGTATTAGCCTGTAACGTAAGATGCGTGCCGTGGAACACGCAATTATAGGTGTTATTTACTTACAGCTGAGTCAACTTAACGTTGTTATTGAATATTCCACGTGGAAGCTCTGATATCCGATTGGCATGTAAGTACCTACACAAAGGAAATACCCCGACTTTAGGACTTTTCCAAAATTCAAAAATTAATCGGAATCAGCTGGAGTTAAAAAAAGAAGGTGCTCTTGGTTAGAAATGGAACTGAGACCTAGTCACTAGTATCAACGATAAATGGATGGAGGTTAGCAATTTGATTGTTCTTATCAATACAATAATCGTTTTGATTCTTGCTGCTCGTTTGTGTTCAGTCAGTCGTTGGTTGAGATTCTTTCTGAAGTAAAACTATTTATTAAACAAGTGATGTTGTAATGTTTCGTCTTAGGTTTGATTTTTACAGACTGTAAAGGTTTAAGCATCCCTAGCCGCCTGTTACGAGAGGTCCCATTGAAAAACGTACGGGAAAAATATTCCAAAAATAGTTTGATCACAGTATAGTTCTCCTTATTTTTTTGTACCAGGTAGATTGTGTTCGTTTGCCAGTTTTTAAAATGCATTAGAATTGAAATCGAATTTCTGAACTAAATTCAAACTGTGATTTGAAGATAGAGGGTGATTAAATTTTTCTCTCCGAACAGTGTCACAACCTTAGATAAAATAACTTTATAGAGACGGTTCTTGATGCTATTATTAGTTTGGGTAATAATATGAGCTGAAATAATTAGATTTAGATCCTCGTTTTTTTAATCTTTCCGTAGTATGGGTGCAAATGTGTAAGCTGCTTAAGCATGAAGCAGTGACCCAGGCAGTAGTACTTTTTAATAATAAATGTTGTTTAGCAATGTCATCCTTCACCATGATTATTTTGCCGCTCGTTTGTGTTCAGTTCAACATCTCCTACCAATTCTTATTTGTATCATGCTGCTAAGGTAAAGCATTCAACCACGTGATGTTGGTAACACGTTTTGCTTACGGTTAGGTTTATACACACTTTGCAAGTTGAAGTCATAATATTTTGTGACGTCTTTATGGTTTTATGCGCTACGGAGATATTGAAAGGTCATAAAGAGAAGAAAATAGGTGGTGGAGGAGCAGGGATGAGGTATAATTTATCAATTTTTGAACCGAGGAGAGAGGATTCCTGAAGATAAGCTGGTACGCGACTGAGATAAGAGTAGTGCTTAAAGTCTAAACATTATTCGAATAGAGAAGTGAAGTCCCCTGATTGAACAAAAAGGTCATAAAATTGGGAATTAACCCAAAACTTTTTTCCAGAGTTCTCTCCATTTGAAGATGACCCCTCAGCCTAGAGCAAAAGCTCTCTCTCTCTCTGTCTAAATACGATCAGTCTTATGTAAAGCAGCGATTAATTTAAAGTGAGTCTTGTGACACCTGAAATAGTTTATATGTAAGGAAGACTTTTCACTTACAGCCTCTGCAGCTTTACCAATTGGGAGAATAATTCGCCTGGCAAATTCTTCAACTTGTTCCCGTTTAACCACCTGTAAATTTTGGAAACTTTGCATCACCAATACGTGAAAATGTATAAATCATATTGACGTTCGACCGCAGTAATGATGTAAAAAGAAATGCAGAGTGCGAGGCCCGTTCTTCTGAAAGGAAACGCTTGAAAGTGCCTCCCTCGACATACTGGCCACCCCCATGCAAACTGTTAAAACATCGTCGGGAATAGAAAATAGGATTAAAAAAACGAAGACTACCGACATATGCGAGGAAAAGATCATTGATTAAACTGTCCAAATACAATCCGTCCAACCTTCTTTCATTCTCTTCATGGTTGACTACACCCACTAAGCTTGAGGAGCGTCTTGATCATATCAAGTAAACACTGACATTACACTCTTAGCACATCGAAGGTTGATATGAAAAATATGCGTGGATATCTGTTACTTACAGTGCCATCAACTCAGTGTTATTATTGAAGACTCCAGGTGGCAGCTCCTTTATCTGGTTGTCATTCAAGGCCCTAAGAAAAAATATTCCATGTCTTTAGTTAAAATTATACTACCTCTTGTGTGTTGCTGCTGTTGAGTACCCTTTTGGTCAGAATACAGTTTGTTTGTGCCGTGTCCGGGTCAAACAGACGCTTTTAATGTAACCTTGAATGTGATTGAACAAACAACAACACTTTAAGTATGATACAATCTCAATCCTCAAGGCCTGAACTTAAAAAACATCAGTAAGCTAACGTAGAAAATGTCTGAAGCAAAATTTCAACGTGATTCGATCATGTACGAGTAAATATACAAGTTAGGCTTATGTTGAGGTTTCTTCAAGTCTCTCTAATGCATGCGCCCTAGCATGGGGATCACTTCACTATGCAACTTTACAAGCGAACCTAATCATATTTTATTTATTTTGTGGTTAAAGACGCTCATTGAATATTTGCTCATAATCAGCAAATAGAGAGACTCTGAGCACATCACGATAGCCGGTTAGGATAAACGGGATTCAATCTTTAATGAAAATGATAATGATTTATTAGAAAGGGGAGTTTGTTCTATTCATTTGCCGCTGCACCACTGTACAAGTTTGATTCACGCCAACCGGGAGTTTTTTTTTTTATTCATTATCCACTGGAGATGACGATCAGTGTTATGTTAACCAGCGATTGATTGTAAACACTGACATCACACTCTTAGCACATCGAAGGTTAATATGAAAAATGGACATGGATATCTGTTACTTACAGCTCGATCAACTCAATGTTATTATTGAAGACTACAGGTGGCAGCTCCTTTATCTGGTTGTCATTCAAGGCCCTAAGAAAAGATATTCAATGTCTTTAGTTAAAATTATACTACCTCTTGTGTGTTTTCAGCCTGAATACAGTTTTTTTGCGCCCTTTCCGGGTCCAAAAAACGCTTTTAATGTAATCTTGAATATGATCGTACAAATTGATATGTATCAACACTTTAAGTATGGTACGATCTCAATCCTCAAGGACTGAACTTAAAAACATCGTTTTCAACGTTTCCAAAGATAGATCTTGATCTTGTTGTAATGTAACCACCTGAAAGTATTCAAACTTTTTCAAACTATCTCAGAAGAAACTTTCACCCCTGTATTGGTAAAAAAGAATGAAGAGGTGGGGGGAGGGGGGGAAGGGGGAGGGACGAGGCCTTAAAGCTAGGATCTAATAGAGAAAACTTCACATCGATCGCGTTTTGTATTCTTCCAGCCCCCTTCGAACACTGGCCATGCAAGAAATCTCCCATATGCAAATAAAACAAATAAACAGAGAAAAATAGAATACATAATCGTGAAATCCAAGATCAACAGCCTAACTAAGTGGTTTTGTTTGAAAATTGCAGTGTTTTGTCATTTATGAAACTAAAAGATTGTCCCAAGAGGCGAGGTTACTTCTATTAGTCGGACAGTGCTAACTTAAAAATCCTTTTACCTTTTTCCATTGCCTTCATGGTTGGTTACACACACTAAGGGTTAGGTATTTAATAATCCGTAGCACATCAAGCGCCAATGGCAACAAAAGCATTAAGACAGGTTACTTACAGAACAACCAACCGCGAGTTGTTATGAAAGACTTTAGGTAGTAGCTGCTCTGTTTGGTTGTTGTTTAAGTTCCCCTTCCCCCCCCCTCTCCTCTTCGCTGCCACCTCCCAAAAGCCATAAAGAAAAAGAAGAGTTGAAAAGCTCACAATTTTATCGTAGAAAAGGGCAAGTGCCGTGGAACAGACAGTAAGTGTTTTCCACTACATTCAATGAGGGTAGCTGCGCCTATGGTTCCAACTGCAATTTTACATGGGCAGGGATCTGGGCACCCTAGAATAAAGCAAGACGGTATAAATGTACAAACGCTTTATTGCTGAAAGTCAGTGAGGCTCTTTGGTGGTACTCTCTGAATGTGTGCATTGTAATATTCTGACATAATAGCTGCCATCTAGTTATCTCGTGAACGCTTCATACTATTCAAGTGTAAGACGAAACAAATAAGTCATAAGGTAGATACAGGAGTCCATGGGCTCCTGGTCAATAAAACTATTGTATCAGTCTTTCAGCTAAAAAGTCAGTTTAGAAAGCGTTAAGAGTTGCTCATTTTACTTGCGATTAGGTAAACTTTGCAAATGTGCAGTATATTTTCCTTTACGCCTGACTGACTTGTGAATCAATTGTTTGTAAATTAATAGTTTAGTTTTGTCAACAGAGTTGACGATGAAAATTTGCCACCGTGAAGAGTTTCTAAAGCTGACGCTTAGAGGGTGGGCCCTTCGTCATGGCGAAATGTTTCGCTCTGCGAAGGGCAAAACCAGATCACCTTGCAATACTCCCCATTGACGAGGCGCCGCAGTTTCTTTAAAAACTCACCCCCCTTAATTCGTTGTGAAAAAACTCACTTTCCACGACAAGACGGATTTCTCCCTTGTCAAAACCATCCTGTGTCTTCACTTCACAGCTGTACTTGTTATTGTTTTCTTCGGTAATGGTCAGCTTATATTTTACACTTGTACTGTTCTGTACCATAATGCCGTTCTTTCTCCAAACTATAAATGGTGCTGGTGCACCTTGTGCTGGACACCAAAGGGATGAAGTTTGGTTGAAAAGAACAAATTGAGTTTTGGCCACCTTGTCTAGGTTGGGTTCAACTGGAACAAAACAAATAAATGAAATTACCAAATGAGTTGGAGTACTCGTAATTGCCATCTATTCCTTCCGTGTTACAACAACTTAGAAACATCTTAGAATTGTTTCAGTTAGTAATTTCAGAGGACAATATCTGTAAAGTTGAGTGTTTTGTTGGTGTAAGAGCCCCGAAACCTACTAAAAAATAATGGGCTGATTTTCTTATCCACAAGTTCTGTCCACTGGATCGCACAATAACAGAAATGTTCCTTCCACAAAATACACCAAGAAGATTAGCAGACCAATTGTACCCATCACGAACCTCAATGTACTCATCATCAATGCAGGGTGTTAGATATGAACTCTCCATGATGAAATTCAGTTCCAGGTAATGTCCTTTGGGAGCTTGTAAGAGTATACTTGAGTAAAACCGTGGGACAACTCTCTGAAGGCGTACTTCCAGTATTAACAAAACTGCAAGTAAAATAAAGAAAAAAAGAAAGGACAAACGGAAGGCTCCTCGCCTTGGTTTTGAGATATTTCAATTTCAACAAAGCTATTTAGAGATAGTATCTTAAATGGAAGCGACTCTCACAAAGCCACAACGGAAAGCCAAACTCGACACGTTTTGATCGAAAGCCATGTCATATGTGTCAAATAGCGTAGAGATTTGTTATGTCTATGAAAACTAGTAAGAAAAAGATACGCGTAAGATTCACATTCGAATTTTTCTTTCGATGTCTCAGTTTGGCGTGAAGATTTAATTAATGAGGTATTTTAATCGCCTTTTTGATAGATTATTTTGTTATAGAACGTAGAGACGAAACTATGCGAGCACGCATTAAAAACAGAACCGCGGAGCTCATCGGATGACTCATTTACTTGTATAATTTTAAAGGTGATCGTTTTGGATGTACACTTTACTTGAAACTTGAACGAAGAGAATCATAAACATGTATTTTCTTGTGTTGAAAATTTTCCCCACACTAATTGAATTTTGTAATTACGCACGGCTCACCGTCACGGCGCATACAGTCGTCTCTTCTCGGGGAGTAAAGAGGATCGAATTCGCGAGAGAAACTGAAATCAACTGAGGCGCCGAACTGTCTCGTAATTTACCCAGGAGCGGTAACTCGATTTTCGCAATCCCCTCAGGGGTTCTCCGCCGCGTTTCTCTATCGCTGGACACCATGGAGTTGAAAGGGTCGAAATATTGAGCAACACAAAAAATTTGGATTTGCGATGCGCTGGAGTAGGCCTGTATAAGACTTCTGGTCTCATAACTTGATTCTCGTAAACAAAGACAACGGTGCTTACAGAAAGCAATGGGCACCATCTTCCTGTTTTCAGCTGACGGGCTGAGGGAAGTTTAAAAAGATTGAGTTGAGTTTAAGAATTTGATTAAATAACATAAAATTATGGATAATATATTTTCCTCTTGGTTAACTGCCTTGTACGTGGGCCGAATCTTATTACCTCAGAAGGTAAAAACGACATCATAATTAGCAAGAAAAATATTTTCTTTTTAAAGCACTGCTGTACCTGAAAGAGGCTTTAACGGGAGATCCCCTGAATCATATTTTAGTGTATTTGATAACAAGAACAATTTGGAGGGTTCCAATGGGGTTGACCGTTAGTCGTAAATTACCAATAGTTAAACTGTTGGGCGCAAAAATTGACAAATTTTAACCGCTGGTTGTAAAGATAATAAACTATGAAAATTATTCTGATGACCATAATTGTCATCAGAATAAGCCATCTCATTATTGAGACCCTCTATTTATATTACCATATTAGATTGTCTCTCTGTCGGAAAAGAGAGTTTGTAAAGAAATTATTGTAAAATTCACTTCTCTCCTACCTTTACAATTATATTTTCCAGAAGTTTCTTTCATTCTTTCTTGTATTTCCGTTCAGTGCGCGCCAAAAGAACGTGTCGCGGTGAAGAATTCACTGGATAAAAAAAAAACATAAATATGTTATTAATATCATTATCCCAGCCGAGAAAGTCTAAATAAGAATTAAAAGTGACAAGAGATAACTCAGTGATCAATTTTCAAATCCCCTATTCTCCCCTATGAAGCTTTGGCACCGTATTTGTCAACAGGGTAGAGTAACTATGAATTTTTTTTCAGCCCTTTATATAAAAAAATGCTCATTAAAAAAAATTCCTTTCTGACTTGTTTGAATATCGAGGAATAATATAATAAAGCTGAGAGAAAGATTTTAAGAATGAATAATACGAATCATTCTGTCCCGTAGGATTTAAAGAATTTCCCTTTACAAAGTTAACTTTGTGTCATAATATACTGATGTTTCATTGTTATCTTTCCTTGTATAGACATTTTAAACATCAAAGAGAATAAGTACCTCAAAAGTATTTTCTATGGTTCCTTTCTTCGATTCAGATCGAACGGTCTTTAAACAGCAATGAATTCAAATACAGGAAGCCGTCTGCATACAGCTTTACCAGATAATTATCTAAAGATGAATATTCTTATGAACTCGCTCTCCATTCGTTTCAAGTCATTATGGATGACAATCACAAACATCTGTGCAATAATGTCAGCAATTGTGCCTTTTAACCAGTTTTGCATTTTTATATAATATAATCAATATGGAATGAGTCATCAACACATCATCGGCTTTTAAAGAATCAAATATTTAATTTAGATGACAAAAAAGAACAACTTTTTATCTAAAATCCTCTAAAATGTAACATGCCGTAGGCGCTCAAATACTTCCATCCCCTCCCCTCCCCACCCCTCGGGTAAGATGGTTTTCGGAAAGTGGTTTGATAGGAGATCACAGAATGCCATTAAGGCGACAGTGGTGATGAAACTGAGTATCTAAGAATTCCTCCCCACCCCCCGTCCCCTTCCCCCCGCGCCGAACTGAATTATCAGAGAGGAGAAATTATTGATACTAAACGATTTCAAAATTGATGTAACAAAGTGGTGGTTGAACTTCGTGTTGTGCATTTTGGTCTGAAATCAAACTTGCGATTTCAAATCAAACTCGGGATGCGCGTTCATTCGAGTTTAAAATCATTCATAGGATTTCATTTGCTTCCATCTTATCTGCATTAGGCCGGTGTTCGAGTATTGTGCGCCCTTGTATCCCCGTGCATTGCTGCTTCTTTAAGCGAAGACCTAGAGCGTGTTCAGATAACGAAGAACCATGTTCGTATTAACATTGGCACGTACTTTGCGCTATTCTCCTGGCTGCTGTCCATAAAATGACAAAATCACTTTTAAGTTAAAAACTCAAACTTCCTTTCCAAGGTAATCCTATCTAACGGCTAGTCACCTCAGTGTCGGTGGCTAGTGGCTAGCTCCAGACAAGACAAGGTTAAATCGAGCCAAAAATATGTCCGCTGCAGGCTGTATAAAAAATAAGCAGGAACATTTCAAATAAAGCCAAAAAAGAAACGATCACTAACCTGCTTCCAATTTCGTGCCACAGTTGGGGCAATAATTTAACGTGGAATTCTGGCCCAGATTTTTGCCACAGGAGCTGCAAAAGTCCGCCATTATCAAATATGGCGGGAAAGGTAGCAGCCATCACAGAGAAGCCTGGGCGCTAGATACCAGTTTCTTGATTTCTCCTCATTTCTACGAAGGAGGCTGGTTTCTACGGAGGAGGCTGATTTCTACGGAGAAGGCTGATTTCTACGGATAAGGCTGATTTCTAAGGAGGAGGCTGATTTCTACGGAGAAGGCCCATTTCTAAGGTGAAGGCTCATTTCTAGGGAGAAGGCTCATTTCTACGGATAAGGCTCATTTCTACAGAGGAGGGCAATTTCTATGCAACAGGCTTACACAGGAGCCCACTAATTGGAGCGTTCAACTCCCATACTGGGCCTATGTCACGGCGTTTTCACAGAACGGTTTATTTTTAGACTATCTTTTTGCGGGAAATAGGCTACTCGAGCTCGCTTGGGTAGTACGATCCATGAAACGCGAAGAAAAAAATGGCGACCCTATGCGGGGACGTCTTCATATCAAAACTACGTAAATTCCGCCTCTCTTTTGCTATATTCCAATATTCCAATCCTTCCTTTCCTTATATATCCTACCATCCTTTGCAAATTTTTCACACTTGCGAAAAAATTCGCGGGAGAGCGGATCATCGTTTTATTTTTTAATTTGTCTTCATCTCAAGAATCTTCATCCACACAGTCTGTAAAGATCCGTAACGGAAATTTTGCGACTCAGGATTGAACAGAAGTGGTGCAACAAAATGAGGGGAGTTTTCCTAGGTCGCTAAATAATGCTACTCTTTCGAATTGGGCTTCGATCTTGTCAAATCTTGGTTATTTTTGTGAAGTGCGGTCGATAATTGTCGTATGCGGCAAAATTCACGATGCCTTTTGTCGCTTTGATCATTGAACAGTCAGGAGTCAGATTCATCTTCACTAGAACTTTCCTCGGGACTACTGCTTCCCAATATTCACAAAGTAAGCGTCCCAAGCTCACTGTTATTCCTGTTATGAGACGAGGTCAAGGCTGTGCACTTCGACTTCGACCGTTGTAAAGCAGGAATAACAGTGACGGCAAAGCAAGCTTAAAACGGCAGAGAACGCCAGAAACCACAACGGACACAAAAGATGTAAATAAATTCTATTGATTTAACGTGTAAAATGTTCATATTTCGAAATATTTATCGTTGTAAATCGACCATAATTCGTTCCCCATGCTATTCTTTATAACATGTTCAAATTCTCAACAGTTCCTCCCGTAAGTTAACACCGAGTCACGTAACATGTGACGCTTTCATGAATTAATCGTTTGCTTTTTATCGAGACGTGAGCCTGGGAAGCCTTTGTTCACACGAATCTGCACTCGAACTATCGCAAGAAGCCTTGCATCTCTCTGCTGTTTTTCTTTCGATATATTAACGAGTAAAGTTAGAAATTAACCAGGCGCTAATCTTGATTGGTCGATATGCTCTCGTGGGGAGTCTTAGCTCGCTGTAAATTCGAACTAAAAATAGACTTGTCTGTGAAAACACCGTGACAAAAATACAGGGCAGTTGAAGGCTCTAAGTGATGGGCTCCTAGCTTACACTTGTATGGAAAATAAGAACAATTTTACAGAGGAAGCAAGTTTTTATTCAGGAAAGTGTTTGTTTGACAATGTGCAGCAGTGGCACTAGTAGGCCACCGAATATGAAAAACTCAATCAGAATGTCCAGCTTTGAAAGATACTGCATCAGTATACATTTTTTCTGATTGAAAAACTTACTACCTGAGTTTTTTAGAGAAAGTGGGAGAACCAGCTAATAAGAAAGTGTGAGGGAAGGGAAACAGTGCCCTTTTCCAGTCGGAAATAAACTTATAACCATTAAATACGAAGGAAACCTGAGATTACTTGTGATGGGTGACATCACATCTGAGAGGAACACGTACCATCAGTCGCTTCTTACTTAAAAAATAAACATTGATAAGCAAATTCAGGCAATGTAAGCACCAATTAGAATCGATTAGCCCCAATTAGCTTATTGAAAGCTACTAAGAAAAAAGGTAAAATGTGCTTTATGAGAGCACATTAAGTTCATTTGTTTACGCCTATAGCTGGTGAGTCCTTCATACTCCATTCTATGAGAAGCATTGACTGTGCTATTTTCTGTCGTAAAGCACGCAGGAAGCGGCTAGAGAACGTAAGAAGTGCAAGGAGAAATACGAGAAGTAGTAGGATATTTCTCCTCACTGCTTGAGTGCTCAAGCCGCTTAATACATAAGTGCTTCACAACAGAACAGAGCACAGTCAAGACTTCTTTTTTTTTATTTTTTTATTTTTTTTATAAGAAAGAATCCGTTAAATTCACACGCATTATTTCCAATTTTCAAATGAAAAGAAACTCTATTTTCAAAGCGAGAAAAAGTGTCGTCAGTATGCCATACACTCTCATAAAGCAACCTACAATAAGCCAATTAGAGTCCGTGTTGAAATAGTTCAAATCATCAAAGTTCACGATCTGCAATAGTTTACAAATTGAAATAATTCGGCAGGCCGAATTTAACACGTTTGCCCGAAGTTCTTCTAGTGTTTTCAGTGAAATCCGGCCAAATAGTGGCTCGTAAAAACTCGCAAGTTTTTTTGCATGACAACTAGAAAGTAAACTGCTCGCGGTGTATGTTTTACGATTGAACAACAGCCGAATTCACGGGAACATGAAGATTGCTTGGGCTGACAGCGCCCTAAACTCTCCTCGTCTTCTACTCAACGCATCGGAAAGGATATTAGAGCAAGCTCTTCGTTATTCACTCGAAGGGCGGCCGATGTAACTTCTGAGGCTTTCTCCTCTGCGATGAGCAGAGATCGCTATGATGAGCCTAAGCATAATCGCGGTCACTCTGACGCCATCGTGATTAATATGAATTTTAATAGTTATTCAAGTTTGGCTATAATATTATTTTTCACCATTCCTGTTTTGTTCTGTTTTGTCTTTCCTTTTAATGGATCTCTTCGACCGAGAAAAAAAGAATAAAAAAAAAATACTAATTTAATTTGTTCTCTTTTATTTTGTGTATAATGTTCCATACATTTCTATGAATATAATGAGCCTGACCATTTGGTCGCGGCAAATATCCAAGTATACAAAATAAACACAACTTCAAATAGCCAAGGTGTTTTTGATCCCTCTCGTTATTTTTATTTTTATCATAATAATGACAGTAATAATCCAGTTAAATACAGCATTTGTATTATTATGTAATTACTAATAAAGAATTTTTCAAATCAACCTCTATGAACTCAATGGTGCTACTATAACTTGCACCTTCTTTGATATGCCAATTTATCAATTTCCTAAAACTTCACCTTTTAAAGTTTTCATATCCCATATAAGCACATAGGTTACTATTTTTGTTTTTAATGAGGGTCAACTTGTTTAATAATACAATGAGTCAGAAAGCATGCATTTTCTAAACTCTGCAGAAAATATAAAGAAAAACCTTGTATTGTTCTAATAATGAAGCACATAACCAAGCAGGAAAAATGAGCAAGCATTAAATCAAAACTCTTGAAAACCACTTTTGAATCTCTTGTCACGGTATATTCTTATAGACAGAAAGAATACTATACTACTACAAACCGAACTACGTTGTTAAACAATGTGTGAAAACGCATGTTTACTAAGAATCGACTCCTTTAGGCAATACAGTGATTATCTTCTACAAACCACTACAGACTGTACCTTCTTCTCCGCCGATTCAAACTCCCCGTTTCTTCCCAATTCCCTTTAAATACACATCTTTGAAGTGCATCACAGTAGCTCTACCTCACGGTATAACTTGAAATGCACAGTTGCTCATAGATTACTAAATTCCTCAACGTATTCTACAACATTCCGCAAGCCTACCACACTACTATTCTGGTAGAATTACATCATAATCACATAACCTGATATATCCAAGTCACCGTGAACAGGTATTCTAAAAATTTCCGGAAACTTCTATTTCATAATTACTTCCTAAAAATTAGCAAAAAAGTTTTTTTTCTAACTCGAGTATCTTATACGCTTAATAAAAAACCGAGATTGTGGATTTCTAATTGCCATTTCTTCTTGTTAAATTGCTTAGAATTTGTAAAAATTTCCTCGAATTTAACTGCTTACAGTTTTGTGTCCTCTTCAAAAGTGTGTTCTTCAAGGACAGCTTCGGTAGCCGAAGGTGACTTTCGAAGCGTTGAAAATCTTGATTTTTTCCCTCGTCTGTAAAAAAAACAAAACAAAACAAAAGAAAAAGCAAAACAAGAAAAAAGAAAAGAATTACTCAATCGCTATTATCTTGCAAAATAATCATTTGTGTAAAAAGCCCCGTTCTGTCATTTACTCAGTCAGTCAATCAGTCAGTAAAAAAGACTATCAATCAATCTTTCGGTTGGCTGCTAAGTTGGGCACACACATAGCCAGTCAGTGAAACAGTCAATCAGTTGTTCTGGTGATTGACCAGCATTCGTTCAGTCAGTTGGTCAAGTAGTCAGTCGGTCGGTTGAAAAGTTGCTCAGTCATTTTGGTCAGTAAGTCAAACAGTCAGTCAGTCGGCTGGTTAAACAGTGAGTAGGGAAGTTAGTCAGTCAGTCAGTCAGTCAGTAAGTAAGGTAAGTTCGCTAAGGACAACCGTTTAGCCAGTAGGTTAAGGAGCTTCCTGGTGGGCAAATAAGCCAGTAATTAAAATAATTCAGCGGTTAGTTTGTCGGTGACAACGTCCGTCAACTTTGTGATACGAACAAGATGTCTCTCTCAAGGAATGTGAACTTGTGTATATCCCGCTGCTCACCACTTACTTCTTTTCGGTGGAATGCCTGAATTTATCGTCTCCTTTTTTCAAACTCTGGTTCCGTTTTCCTAACATGAAAAGAACAACGTAAATAAAATCACATATTTGATGAGGTACTTGATACGCTGTGGCAACTGCTTAACTTGACGGCACTGGTTAACGACATTCTAAATGTAATTCTCTAGAAAATTACCTTCTATGTAATAGGATCAACTTGAAGAGGAACTTCTATTTGCTGGACTGTAGGTTGATTCTGTTATTTCATGTACAGCATTCAGGAGAATGGTTTATAGTTTTTATTAACTTTAATTTCAACATAGAGTTTCTATCATTTTTATGTGCACCATAATTTATTTGATTGTGTGGTGCAGAAAGAAAAACAATTTTTCTGTTAACTCAACCTTCCATCTGATTCAAATACGTGATACGAAATTTCTTTGCGTTTATTAAGAGACTTCTTCCAGTTGCTCTAACCGGAACTTTAATTTTGTGATTGAGGTCACTGTGAGCCCAAGAGAAAATTACGTCTTTTAAGAGACTCAGAAAGTTCAAGCTCTTAAATTTATTGATTTGTGTCTATGAGAATATCCATCTTTTCCAGATCCCTCCAGAGGTACAGAAAAAAATAAAAACTACCATTCATACAACATATTGTAGAGTCTTGGCAAGATAAACTAACAGAACTGCAATGAAAACTTCAGTACGGAACTGTTCTTTGTATAAAGATGACATGTGAGAAGAAAGTTTAGCCTACCCTGTTGTGGATGACGCACATCAACATTGGCCACTTCGATAACGACAACCTCGACTACCCCAGGAAAAAAAAACCGGTAAATAAAACATATAGTCAGAGATTACCACTGTGTTGTCATTCTCAGTTTTCATGATGTCCGTACTGTGTTCACTAAAAGGAAAAAAATGTCGTACCTCCCATGCCGCCATGTTGTTCAATGTCTTCCATGCCCTGTTGGTTCAGTTGTTCTCCATCTCCTTGGCCTTTTTAAAGAAAGCAAAGAAAAAAATTGTGAACGAGCCAGGAAACAAATAGGAAATTTTGTAACGAACGCAGAATGAGATTTACAATTTCAAACTATTAAAATGTAATGGACAAGAACGGTTGGGTAATTAAAATGATAACAATAAACTTTATTTCCGTGTATGGAAATATCCCAAAGTCACAGTTCCTTCAGTTATAGAGGACACATTACAAAATCACTAGAGGTACAATATAAACTAACAGAACAGCATTGAAAACTTGACACTGAATTAGAAACTCTAGCCTTACCTTGTTGTGGATGATGCACACCAATACTTGCCAGTTCAATTTCTTCACCCTCAATTTCTCCTTGAAAAAGGGGAGTAGATAAAACATGTACACAGACTAACCCTGTGCCCTCAGTTGAAATTTTCATGATATGTTAACTGACACCTAAACGGTTTTTACCTCCATCGCCGCCATGTTCTTGATTGTCTTCCATTCCGTGCTGGTTCACTTGCTCTCCCTCTCCTTGGCCTTTTTAAAGAAAAAAAAAAACACAAAAAGAGGTTTATGAAAAAAACAAACAGAAACCTTACAGTTAATATAGACAACGAAAGAAGGAATGGGTTCTATAATTTGAGATTAACGTAATGAACAAAGAAGGTTGGATGATTAATTGTAAAGATAATAATAAACTCTATTTGCGAGTATGAAAGTATCCGGCAGTCAAAGATCCCTCTGGTAACAGAGCACAGAACAAAATCACCAGGGATACAATTAAAAACAAACAGATCAGCAATGAACACTTCAACACGGTGTTTTTCTTCCAGACAAGAATAACATTGGATTTGAAAACTGCAGCCCACCTAGTAAGGGATGGTGCACACCAACATGTACCAGTTCGATTTGCTCACCCTCACCTTCTCCTAAAAATGAAGAGGATATAAGAAAATGTTTTTAGTCACAGATTGCCCTTTATTTCCCTCATTTACAGTTTTCACCATGCTTCCAGAAATAGGTGTTAGGATTTACCTCCCTCGCCGCCTTGTTGCTCATTGTCTTCTATTCCCAGTTGGTTCGGTTGCTCCCCATCTCCTTGGCGTTTAAAAGAAAAAAAAAGAAGAAAAGTCAATGATCGAGTAGTTCGTACAACAAATGAAGCGACCAATAAAAGAACGAAGGAGCGAACGAGTGAATAAATGATCGAATGAATACCTCCATGCATGTATGAGTGAATTGATTTATGAACGAGTGACTGAATGAATCAGTCAATAACTATATTTGCAGCAATCTGTTAGTTTACTCTGTTGTTCGGTTTATTTCTTATTAGGAGCTGTTAGCTGTATTTTTACTTCTTCAAATATGTGATAATTACATCGTACCTTCCTGATCACGACCACAGCAGGTGAAAACGGTCTTCAAGTAGTTCCAGACTTTTTCCATTTTGTTCTTCAGAATGCCTCTGACCTGGATACGCAATAGCCAAAAGCAATCGAGATTTCGCTCACTTCCTTTAACTGGGCTCCGATGAAAAATAGAAACTAACGAATTTCTGCTGTGCAGTGCTTTTAAAACATTGTCAATGTCAATTGCTAGTAAAGAGAGCAGCCTTGAGCAATATTATACACTGCTTCGAGTCGGCTGAAAACCATTACCCTTCCTGTAACTAACCATTATTAATCTACTTACGGATCTAATTTATTATCTTGATTACTTATAATGGATTAAAAGCGCATGACTTACCTGTTCTGTTGAAAAGGTGTACAGGATAGGATTCAAGGCCGAATTGATCGGAAGGGCAAACACAGCAATCCAGACAGCGAGGTCTCCTTGCGCTTTGTAAGACTTCTCGATGATGGTCCTCATACCAATCACTATCACCGGCATCCAGCACACACAATCACTCAGGATGATGAAAAACACCCGCCTTGCAAGAGCCGTTTCTCTCCTAAAGTTTGCTCTTCTGGCCTGGATCTCTCTTTCAGTACCCTGACGGGCCAGTCGCCGGCTAGACAAGTAAGACTTGACTAGTATCATAAGATAAGCACCCGTGATGAACAAGAAAAAAGCAAAATTCAAAGCGAGAAAGATAGCAACAGAATACTCCCAACCTGCCGGCTTATCAGAAGTAAGCTGCAAGGGCAGACATACCACACTTCTACCATAGTAACTATGGTACCTGAATGGGTCTTCAAAATACTGAATACCAAACATAGGCAAAAAGGCCATAAGGAAGCCAATTGCCCATATGATGATGCACAGGATATGTGTTGCCTTTGGTTTCAGAGTAGTACCTTGGTAAGGAAACACAATATTTTTAAGCCGATCAGCAGATATCAGTGTCATCATCATAACCGACACCTCACTTGACAGAAGGGAGATCGCTCCAATTATTTGACAAGACAAACCAGACCTCCACTGGAAGTCATGCAAGTAATACTCTCCTCTCCACAACAGATCTTTAGTGCCAAGAGAGATCAGGTAAATAGCCATCAAACCATCGGACACTGCTAAGTGGAGCAACATGATGGACTGTACCACGTTCTTTTCTTTAAAGATTACTCGCCAAGTGATAACAAACACTGCACCAACCAGAGAAAAGATTCCTATCGCCCAGATACTCTTTCTTGGGGCAGAATTCTTAAACATGCTCTCACAGTTGGCAAAGTCGTCGTTGTATGTGAAAGCACAGTCGGCGTCCTGCTTGTGCAAATGACAACACATCAGATTTGTGTCAAAACTCCTACAATTGTAAAATATCATCCGGTCAGGAAAGTTATTTCATTAAGTTTTATAGACCTTGTCGACAAAAGGTTGCTTTTAAGATATATCAGAAACTGATGGCAGGACTTATCCATGGACTTGTACAAAACATTTTTTTAAGAATTCGAGTCTTCAATACTCATATCAAAAACTTAGCTTGAATGTCTCTAACATGTTGTCTACTCAGAATATATAGCTTTGCTCAAAAACAAAAAATTTGCGAATGAATTTTTCAAAATCTTACACTCGCAGTATATCCTTCAATACATCGAAAAAACCAGATGGAATCTCCCTCATCTTGTTGTACTGCATATACCTGGAAATTAAAAATTAATAGATAAAAATATAATAATGAAAAGCCGCAAAACTCCACAACAAAAATTAATCTTTCAAATAGGTTCTCTTAATTCCAACAGTGTCAACGAAGTCTTTTTTTCATTTAACTATTTTATTCTTGTTTATCTCGTTGCCAGGTTCCCTCTAATCGCGAAGCTTCTTTTTCCTTTATATAAACCACTTACAGTTTACAATTCCTCCATTCTTAGACGAAGGGTTAATGCTCAAGACGTCAGCTTTTGAGGCTCCTCAGACTGGCCATCACCAACTCAGTTGATAATAGTTAAATATCGGATGAGATTGACCATGATAATATCATAACGCTAAGGTCTGAGTTTCCCGCCGAAACCATGATATCATGGGAAAACCGAATTCAACCACTGTTTTATTGTACATTTTTAAAACACTCTGCAAAAGACATTTCTCTCTGAGTTTACAAAAGTTTCAGGACGTTACACTGACGAGGGGCTTGGCAATTGGTCAGACTTTGAACTTCACTTGATAACCCAATACCTGATGCAGATATCGGTTATCATGTCAACTTCACACGCTTATGTATATTGACTGTACGCTCTAAACTAATCAGAGTTTTGATATGGAATGACACCAAATATCTTGAAATATCCCACACTAACGCAGCACCAAAGTATCTCTACAAACTTACTCCCTCTAAGCAAATAATCAATCTGCTGGCAGGAAAGTATTTACCGGTGAGTTACAGATAAGGTGAGAAGCTTTCACGACAAAAGCATCGTTTTGGTGTGTTTCCATTATATTTTAATAGTTTGAACACCTCATGGTAACCAGGTTCGTCTCACAACTTGGTCATCACTTGATTAATTATAAAACTCACAGAATTTTCAACTGTCTAATTTCTTTGAAGTTGTCGACGGAGACCTGAGTCATTTCGTTTTCAACAATTTCTCTAACAAAAATAAAGTGCAACAAAATCATACAGAGTAACAGGAAAGGTGCAATGTTTCGACATTGATGTGAAAATGATCATCTAGAGGTAAAATTAAATGCATTCAAATGTCATGATATGTTATTTCAAAAACACATTACTCACCAAATGAATTTCATAGTTTACTTACATAATCAATAGCTGCTTTAAGCCTTTAAAAATTCCTTGTGGGAGGTATCTGAGTTTGTTTCCCGATAGATAGCTAATGAAGAAGAAAGGAAGAAATGAAATGAATGTTGAACATAACGGATTAAAGAACTGGACATTAGTAATTGTTTTCATAAGTAGGAAAGAGATTATGAGAATATTGCGATATAATTACGAGAAATGTATGGAGAAAGATAATTGATAGTCTAGAAATCAGGAGATTTCTGTTATGGAGCATCGTCAGTGCATAAACTGCAAAATGTCCAAGGTTGTATGACAAAATATACCTGGTACTGAAAAGCCACTAGTCCAAACCGGCCCATCTTATACAAAAATCGCCAGCACCAAGAAAAGGAACCTACACAGACCCTCATCATAAATTAAAATCAGGAATTCCGGGAAATAAAACAATGTCTTAAAAATATGGGAAGATAGATCGGAGTGGGCATTTTTCCACTTGCAGTAATGAACAAATTTAACATTTAGGCCAAGTTATGCTACCAGCACGATAGGACATTTTCGCTTTTGATAGATGCCTAGATTTAAAACTTGTGCGATACATAAATGTTCATGAACTACTCACAGTTCATTCAGCTTTACCAGTCCCCGAAACTGTTTAGGTTGCAGCTCCTTTAAATTATTATTTTCAATTTTTCTGTTGAATTGCAAATCATAGATATGCTCTTGGCAAGTTTTCTTTTCATTTAAAAGTTGAATGTAATATCAGCGGTCAGTACTACGTGTAACCTTCGGTTGAGTGTCCAAAAGCAAGAGCCTGAGTGGATCACAAGGACAAATCAAAGCAAAGGGAGATTATGGATTCAGTCTACATTAAAGGTACACACAATCCAGGCACCAGGCTAAAGGCGCCGGAAACGCGAGTGATCAAGTGGCGATTGGTTTTAGTTTGGTGTGCGATTGGTTGAGAGGGTGGCACAGGTTTTAAGATTAATCATAGAGGGAATAAAGTAAAACGAGAGCAATCTTTGATTACTTTTGACAATGTATAAAATTAAATTAATTTGTGTTTGACCTCAGTAACGCCAAAATTAACGAATTGAAAAGCAATTCTTAGAAAGTCCCCCTAAACAACTATATCTTCGTACTTTACATTGGGTATCTTTTGAAATTTTCTGTAACTGTTTTCGTTTCCTTTCTTGTTTGTCTGTTTTTTTTTTACTCCAAAATTCAAATTCCCCATCATCGATCGATCAATCGATTATTAATTAACTAGAGAGGATAATTCTCTCTTACAATTATTCAGTCATGCAAACTATCCATCGCTACTCACATTTTCTCCACCTTGGTTAGGTTAGCAAAAATCGTTGGCGGTAAAGCTCTTATTTGATTGTTGGACAAAAGCCTGCAATATTAAAATAATTAACCACACGCTACGTTTATCTGCAAAGCAGAAAGTTCCCGTAGATTATGGCGGCAACTGGTAAGATCCAAATAACGATATCCTTACATATCTCTATGATACACAGATATATGTTTTGCACTCATTCGGTGAGACACGTTTTAATGAACAGGTTTAATTAGATTAAGTCGAAAGACATACGGATTGATAACATTTAACGAAAAGTCAATTTCAAGTTCAAAACTTCTATTCATTTTGTGTTTTAAATTCACGCAGAAATGGAGAAAGTTTTACAACTATACAAATTTCAGAGAAAAGATTTTTTTATTGTCGTTCGTTTAATTGTTTTGTTTTGATTATTCATTTGTTTTTGTTGTTGACTTACAGCGTTTTGAGATTTGTCAGATTGCTGAAGATTTCTTGGGGGAGATCCTCAACTTCATTATCAGACAAATCCCTGAAATTTTCAAGGAAAAATGCATTAACCTTTCAGAAAAAATAATTCCAGCTGAAATGTAATTCCCATAAAAAGTGACTCTAGGCACTCTAGGCATTTGTAGTATGCTATGTTGCTGTTATATTATATGGTGGAAGTGCACTGAGCTAGTAACACCGGGTGATGGGAGGAAAACAGTGTACAGCAATGGAACCCAAGACTACCGGGGAACACCTGCTTGTCAGAACCCGAGACCAGCGAATTTCGATCTCAATTTTTGAAAGACCAAAAATGTTTGCAAAAAAACTTCTATCAAAGGGAATTAACCTCAAAATTTGGTTTCTTTTCAGTTTTTTTTTTTTTTTTAAGGGTAATTGATTGTTTGTCCGATCACAAGTGTCCGATTACAGACAACTGTCCGATTACACTTGTACAAAGTAATTAGCGAAATATATAGCAGCTGATGCACCGGTCACATTTGAGGAAATCGTAATGGTTATGATTAGTTTAGTAATAACAGTGGCTGGTTTCTCTTAAGGCAGTGGGACTACGTCAGCACAGTAAGTCAAAGAAATTCAGGATCAGCAGATTTTGAGTCTGAGGCTCTCGGTTACGCTGCCCTCCGTAACGTTAACATAATAAAATCTCTCTCAATTGTACGTTTTCTAAGCGACCTAAATTAAGCCCATCATGTGCTTTTATGAAATCAGTGTCCATTAAATTAGAATCCATCAAATATTTTTGCTTGCGCGCGTTTTGTATAAACCTAACCTCGCTGCGATATGCGGGGATTTCTTTTCGAATACTCTTCCATTTAAAGGAGGAGAACATTGATATTGAAAGAGTCCATATTTTATTGTTTTGTATTTTTTGTAAAGACACAATTCTTTTTTATCATACTCACAGCTCTTCCAAATTAGCCAAATCTTTGAAAACGTGTTTAGTAAGCTTCCTGATTCCGTTATCTTGCAGCCATCTGATAAAAAGAATAACACGGCAATGATAGGTAAATGTTGTCATATCTTCAGATTTATGACGAGTTTTCCGATCATATTTCAGAAACACAAGACTGGTAAACATCCTGACTTATTGACTTTTTGTTAAAGTTGATTTCTAAAAGTTTCGATGAGCATGGCTCTTATTATTTTGTTAAGTTACTGGAACATCCCTACTACGCATTATTTTGCTCATTCATCCAACAAAAATATAACAATGAAGGTATAAAATAATGACTCCTACAGCAACATGTTGAATTTTTTCTTTCTTTCTCAGTAGATTGTTATTTTTTCCACCTTCAATCTGCAAGTGTCCAATTTTTCACACAAATGATTTTAACTATTACCATTTTTCTTTTCTTTACTCACAGGCGTGTCAATGCTCTTAAACCATCAAACAAACCCTCTGGTAACTCTGTTTGGTCGTTGTCGTTAAGTTGTCTGTAGAGGAGAAGAGTTAAAAAGTGTTAATTTCTTTAGTTCAAATTTGCTGGAATAGACATTATTTGGACCGATAGGCTCTCCAAAGCTCAAAATTTTGGAACCAACAGTTTTTGATTTCGAAAGTAATTTATTGAATTTAATGCGACCTTTGTTTTAATTTGCGACTCAAAACAGATTCGTACGAGGCTTTTGAGGTACCTGATCTTACTACTCAGATCTTGCCTGCTGTTAGATTTAGCCGTTATACCTTTGATCGTTGATTGCGGGCGTTCGTTATCTGTCTGTTAGTTACGTAGATATTCAAGGGTTGAAGGATGTGATCGATGAAAAGGAATATGCACCATTTGAATTATGATGTGAGCTGTGATACTTGTAATAGGTGAGATACGAGGACGACTTTCCACTTACAGCCACCGCAGCTTAACTAACTGGGAGAATGGATTGCTTCTCAAATTCTCGATCTTGTTGCCGTATAACAAACTGTAAGGTAAGAAAGCTTGTTTTAACAATCCTTAGTAAAGTATAAATCTTGTTTGCATTTGACTGTGGTATTGGTGTGAAAAGAAGTGCGAAGTGCAAGCCTGTTCTGAGAAAGAACACTTTTAATCTCCTTTTCATACTGGCAAATAAAACAAAGTTATGGAAGGAATAAAAATTGAATTTATAAAACGTGGACCAACGTAAGATGCTAGGATATGATCATCTATGAAACTGAAAGGATTGTTTATGAGGGTAGGTTTCTCTTTTCTGTTTAACTCCGTCCATCTATGAACTTTCCCACTCTCTTTCACCCCTTTAACCGCTGACTACACCTACTAAGCTTCAGGACCTTCTTGATCACATTTAGTTGACAATTAGATAAAACTCTTGGTACACCAAAGGCTATCATCACAAGAGCCAGGAAAATCAATTACTTACAGTTCAGTCAACTCGGTGTTGTTATTGAAGACTCCAGGTGGCAGCTCCTTTATCTGGTTGTTACCCAATTCCCTAAGAAATAATATTCCCTGATTTCAGTTAAAAGTGTCATTTTTTAGAAATTGTCGCTATTGCAGGTTTTTTAATTTATTTTTTCTGTTGGATTAACAGTCTGTTTATGTCGTGCCCGGATCAAACACGTGCTTGGCTATAACATTGATATATTTGTTACATCTTGATATCTATCAACGCTCCTAGCATAAGGCGCTTTTAAAACTCATCGATTACTAAACAAACTGCAAAAGATAATACGTACTTCGACGAGTTTCGTCTCACTGTCAGACTTGTTCAGGGAGTTTTGCGCGTTTTGTATTGCTGCTATCGCAAGTTTTTTATTTTCTTTTTTCTGTTGGATGAACACTTTAGTTGTGTTGTGCCCGGATAAACACACCCTTATGCTAGTTGTAAAACTTCTTTATTCTTCGACGCGCTTCGTCTTACTGTCATAGACTTCTTCGAGGAGTTTTGTGAGTTAATGCTAAAAACTTATATAAAAAAGCCATCCTATGGCTATAACGGGGGCCAATGACCATATACGAACAGAAACAGGCGAAGTTGTGGAAAAATTAAAGAATAATTTAGCGGCGAGGTGAGAAAAATATCTGAGGGCTAACTACTGTTCGCAAAGAGCTGCTCAGTAGTTTGGTTTTTTTAAAAATTGTTTTTAACAATTTTTTAACTTTAAAAAAAAAGTTAAATAAAATTTTTTTTTAAAAATTGGGTTTGAACTTAATGGTAAAATGGAAACTTGAGAGTAACTTGATGGTAACTTCTCAAACTTATTCGATGACTTTGGAAACGAGATTGAAACCAGGATTTGTTCAATTGTGAGCTGGGATATTGGATTTGTATTCCACCAGTTTGTACTTCGATGTTTTATTCCAGTGATGGGATCTGTATTAATCGTTTAAAAATGTGTCGTAGAACATACATTAAAACACGTTTTTGCTGACGGTTACTGGTTTGATCATAAATGTTTGAATATCTAGTTCAAGAGAGTCAACTTCGCGTTTGAGCAATCACTGAACTTGAATAAAAGTTTGCCCACAGTTAGTATATCAAGACATTCTCGTCACATTTTCATAAATATAAGCAGAGCGAAATCGATAAATCAAGGGTTCTGTATTAGACGCTTTAAAATGGGTGTCTTGGAGCATGTATTATAATAAAGTTCGGATAAAACGCGCGCTGTTATTGGTTGAAAGAGCGTGCTCTATGAGAGTATAGAGCATAGAGCTGAGCTACAGCTGTCACGCCATCTGGCAATTGTACTATGTTCGAGCTTTTCCGGGACTTCTTTTTAGCTTTTTCCCGATAATTGAAAATGAAATTTCGGAACTGAAGCAAGCCGGCAAGTAGCAACAGAAGAATCAAACAAAGGTTTGTAAACATACCAGGCGCCGTAATTTATGTTATTAAAACGTGAACAGATACGAAAATCCTCAAAGGAAAAACAAAATAAACATTCCGAGTTTTAAAGATTTTTACGCTCAGTTAGATTAATTGCAAGCTTACGTACGGTAATAAAAATCAAACACAGCTAACACTCGTATAGTATACAAAGTTCAGTGTTCAAAAACAAAACAGAACAAAACAGAAATGATGAAAAATATAACCAAACTGGCCTAATTGTTAAAATTCATACTAATCATGACGGTGTCTGAGCGAATATGATCATGCTGAAGTTCATCGCGGCTCGCTCATCATGGCGATCTCCTGTCATCACAATAAAGCAAGTCCCAGAAACTACAAAACTATAACTATAAAACTCAAGAAGTAGGAAGAAACACTCGACTACGTCTCGTGTTTCTCCCTACACTTCTTTCGTGCTCTAGCCGCTTCCTGCGTGCTTTATAACAGAACAGAGCACAGTCAAGGCTTCTCTATTTGTTAAATAGAGTTTATTCATGAAGTCATGAAGCGGCCTGTAATAAGGATTTTGCTGAGGATTATTGGATCGGAAAAGGGGGACAAGGATCACCGCGTGAAAACAGGGATTTGGAGCTACAGAATGTACTTAATTAGAGATGACTGAACATACATGTAATTCAAGGGAGTGCCCTTCATGCTTGAGTTAGTGGGAAGTAGTGTTGTTGACTGAGTTCAAGAGCTAATTACCAAGGCGCTCTCTGAACTACGAGTATCTAAGCATAAGACACGTCAATATGCACACAGTATAATAATATCTGCTTATCAGAAATGAACTCACCGAATCGATTACATCAAAAATTTATCACCATACTGATTCACGAAACTCTAAGCACATTACGATGCCGGGTCAAAATAAACGTAACCTGTTCAATCTTTTATGAAACTGAAAGTGATTAATTAGAGAGGGGAGGTTGCTGTATTCATATGCCTTGGGCCACTGTGTCACAGTGCAAGTTTGATTCACGCCACCCGTAAGTTTTGTTTATTCATTATCTACTGGAGATGACGATCAGTCTTATGTTAACCAGCGATTGATTGAAAGTGAGTCTTGTAACACTTGAAAAAGTTTGTAAGTGAGGAAGAATTTTTACTTACAGCCACAGTAGCTTGACTAATTGGGAAAATAAGTCGCCTGGCAAGTTCATCAACTTGTTGCCGTTTAACCACCTGTAAGTTTTGGAAAATTTGTATCAACAATGCGTGGAAATTTATATTTCCTGTTCGCGTTCAACCGTAATACTAATGTGAAAAGAAATGCAGAGTGCGACACCCGTTCTTCTGAAAGGAAACGCTTGCAGGTGCCTCCCTCTACATACTGGCCACGCCCATGCAAACTGATAAAACAAAACAAAATGTGTCGTGGAACATACATTAAAACACGTTTTTGCTGACGGTTACTGGTTTGATAATAAATGTTCTAGTTCAAAGCACATTATCAAAGCACTCTAAGCACATTACGATGCCAGGTCAGAATAAACGTAACCTGTTCAATCTTTTATGAAACTGAAAGTGATTAATTAGAGAGGGGAGGTTGCTGTATTCATATGCCTTGGGCCACTGTGCCACTATGCAAGTTTGATTCACGCCACCCGTAAGTTTTGTCTATTCATTATCTACTGGAGATGACGATCAGTCTTATGTTAATCAGCGATTGATTGAAAGTGAGTCTTATGACACTTGAAAAAGTTTGTAAGTGAGGAAGAACTTTTACTTACAGCCACAGCACCTTGTCTAATTGGGAAAATAAGTCGCCTGGCAAGTTCATCAACTTGTTGCCGCTTAATAACCTGTAAGTTTTGGAAACTTTGTATCAACGATGCGTGGAAATTTATTTCCTGTTCGCGTTCAACCGTAATACTAATGTGAAAAGAAATGCAGAGTGCGACACCCGTTCTTCTGAAAGGAAACGCTTGCAGGTGCCTCCCTCTACATACTGGCCACGCACATTCAGACTGGTAAAACAAAATTAGCAAGGGAATAGAAAATAGGATACACAAAACGAGGGCCACTGACATATGGTAGGAAATGATCATTGATTAAACTGTCCAAATACAAACCTTCCTACCCTCTTTCATTCTCTTCATGGTTGACTACACCCACTAAGCTTGAGGACTGTCATGATCGTATCAAAATAACACTGACAGTACACTCTTAGCACAACCAAGGTTAATATTAAGAATGGGCGTGGATAATTGTTACTTACAGGATGATTAACTCAGTGTTATTATGGAAGACTCCAGATGGTAGCTCTTTTATCGCGTTGTTCCCTAGGGCCCTAAGAGGAGATATTCCATGATTTTAGTTAGAATCATATTACCTCCTGCGTGTTGCTGCCCAAGCAAACAAACCGTTCTACCCTCTTTCATTCTCTTCATGGTTGACCACACCCATTGAGCTTGAGGAGCGTCTTGATCATATTAAGTAAACACTGACATTACACTCTTAGCACATCGAAGGTTAACATAATAAAAATGGGCGTGGATATCTGTTACTTACAGTGAGATCAATTTAGGGTTATTATTGAAGACTCCAGGTGGTAGCTCCTTTATCTGGTTGTTACTCAAGGACCTAAGAGAAGATATACCACGACTTTAGTTCAAATTATACTCATATATTCAGGTGGTTAAACGGCAACAATTTGAAGAATTTGCCAGGCGACTTATTTTTCCAATTAGTCATGCTGCAATGCCTGTAAGTGGAAAGTCTTCCTTACATATGAACCATTGCAAGTGTCACGAGACGTACTTTTAATCAATCGCTTGTTAACATTGGAATTGAGTCTTATGACACTTGAAATAATTTGTACTGGAGGACGAGTTTTCACTTACAGCCACTGCAGCTTGACTAATTTGGAAAATAAGACGCCTGGCAAATTTTTCGACTTGTTGCGGTTTAACCACCTGTAAGTTTTGAAAACTTTGCATCACCAATACGTGAAAATGTATAAATCCTATTCGCATTCACTGAAAATGATTTATTAGTGAGTGGAAGTTGTTCCGTTCATTTGCCACTGTGCATTACGACTCGGCAAACTCATCGGAATGAATAAGTAATGAGAAAGAACAATAGCCTGAATATATGAATACTTAACAACCTCAATTTTTGAGGTTCACGTTTAATCCGCTATGGAGTTGTCATGGCTACTGTGAAAGCTTGATTCACGCCACTCGTAAGTTTTGTCTATTCATTATCTCCTCGAGACGACGATCAGTCTCATGTTAACTAGCGATTGATTAAAATATTATATATAAGGAAGACTTACAGCCACTGCAGCTTTACTGATTGGGAAAAAAAGTCGTCTAGCAAATTCTTCAAGTTGTTGCCGTTTAACCACATGTAAGTTTTTTAAACTTTGCATCACCAATACGTGAAAATGTATTAATCCTATTCGCGTTCGACCGCAGTACTAGTATAAAAAGAAATGTAGAGTGCGAGGCCCGTTCTTTAGAAAGGAAACGCTTGCAAGTGCCTCCCTTTACCTACTGGCCACGACTTCGCAAACTGATAAAACATCGTTAGCAAGGGAACAGAAAATAGGATTTGCACAGCAAAGACCACCAACATATGCGAGGAAATGAACTCTGATTAAACTTTCCAAATACAAACCGTCCCAACCTCTTTCATTCTCTTCATGGTTAACTCGTATGTCACAATCGCTCTCTCCACGTCGTGAGACGCGGAGAGAGCGCTTTAGGACTCAGTTGTTGACACTACCATTACTTTGCACTCGAATAGTTACAATAAGTCCTTTGATGAGGTTCATCTTAAAGATTTATCCTTGTAGTTAGATTCCTCTAATTCTCTATCTTGGCCCGCAATTCTTTTTCAAAATTCAAAACCGTGCTTTGAAGATTAGAGGTGTTTTTTTTCTGTCTGAGAAGTGTCACAACTTAAAATAAAACAACATTGGAAATACGATTCTTGATACTATTATTGGTTTGGGTAATAATATGAGCTGAGATAGTTCGATGTAAATTCCCTTCTTTAAACTCTTGCCGTTGAATTGGTGTGTAGACGTAAGTACCGTATTTATTCGATTAAGTGCCCAATCTCGAATGAGCGCCAACCTCGAATAAGCGCCCACCCTGAAGGTAGAAAAAGTTTATAAGCGCCCAGCCTCGAATAAGCGCCCACCCCCAAAAAGTAGTTTTTAAGCACCCAACCTCGAATAAGCGCCCACCCCCCAAAAGAAAAAAAAAATAAAGTGCATAAGAGGAATACGGGTATTGATTATTACGGTATTTCAATAATGGCTTACAATCTCTAGTTTCATTGTCTGAAAATTTTAAGAATATGTTGGAATTTTTCTCAAAGTTTCAACTGAAACGTCCATGTGGGCGCAAAGTTCTTTCAGCCGCAAAATGTCCCGCTCAAACTTCGTGGCAATAGCCCTGCTTGGTGTCCGCGCTTTGAATGTTTCTGGCACAAAAGTCTGTTCTCCAGCCTTCTTGACCCTGTTACTTTAGCAAAAACCTCAATATCGTCGTAAGCTCTCAGAAATGTATAGATGAGGTAAGATAGTTCCATTGGCACATATCCTACAGGCTCCCTGCCGGTATAAGCTTCCAAATACGTCCCAATTGCATATTCGTCATGTTATTTGGCTTCCTTGCGATCATCCTCGCGGCAGTTAAGTTTCTCTCCCAAAGTTGGAGTCCACACAGATTTATAAATATGATGACCTCGTATAACTGATGTGAATTGCACTTCAAACAAAAAGTTCTATTTCAGATAGTGAAAACTTGAGCGAGCCATGGCTTTGAATTCACATGAATGATCTGGCACTAAAAGCGAGCTGTTCAGTTAGCTAAGCTACAGCGGAACCCACACGTGTTTCCTGTTACGTACCGGGAGCTCTTTCACTATCGTTCATTGGGCAAGTTCTCATTTACTCGTCGAATGTTGGCTTGGGACTCTTAAATGCCACATCACAGACGGCGTCAAGCAAGAACTCGCACAGGCAAAGTATATCCAAGCCCCTGACGTGGCATGGAATAAGCCCTTCAAGGCCAAAGTAACTGAGAAGTACGATGCGTGGACGGCTGACAGAGCTCATTCATTTACAGCTGCAGGAAACATGCGTGGCCCACCTCATCCTGAAATCGTCAAGTGGGTTCTTGAGGCCTGGGAAACTTTAGAAAGAGAGTTAATTATCCGTTCTTTCAGAAGCTGCGCACTTACTGTGGCTCCTGACGGATCTGAAGATGATCAGATTCATTGCCTAAAGGAGGGTCAATCTTGTCATACAGGACAAGATCGCCTGGCATCCATCCAGCAAGCCCTAACAGCTTCTTGCGCGACTGACCCATTTGCTGATGTTACGCTGTCGGATGTCGAGGAGGCAGCACCAGAAAGTTCACTTATTGAGCTGAGTGACGATGACATTGAAGTTGACTGAGAATTGTGATAGCAAAAGAGACTTCTGCGAAGACCGAACAATGAGTTGCTAGTCCTGGGCATAAACCGAACAATGAACAGTTACAATTTATATGCTTTAATATTTTATCATGTTTTGTTATCATTTATTGTTTTGTTACAAAATAAACTTTTTACTTACTGAAAATGGTGAAAATGTAATAAGCGCCCAGCCTCGAATAAGCGCCCACCTCGAATATGCGCCCACCCTGAAAATCCAAAAATTAAATAAGCGCCCTGGTCGCTTAATCAAATAAATACGGTATTCACGCTGTCGTTTGTCAGCCTCGTTTTCATATATCACGTTCGAGTCGATATATCGTGGGAGCCTCCGTCCAGTTTTCTTCGCGTCTTTAGACTTAATCCAACGCCGTAGGCTACTGTGGCGACGAGGTAAACTGGAGAACGAACAGCCAACCTCGACGAACGGAGCATTACGTGAAAATCCGGTCTTAAATCTATGATATCAGCTCAACCTTAACGCAAACCACTTGGCGGGAAGACCTCCCTTTGATTTCTTCAATTCTGAGTCTGAAGATATCGAGAACTATATCGAACAGCTGCAAGAATATTTCACCGCCTTCGCTATTAAGAACGACACGGACAGTCCCGCTGAACGAAGAGTAATACTCTCAACATCTACTAGAAGTGGTGCTTATCGAGTCTTAAAGGATTTGTCATTCCCGGAAGCGCCGAATACGAAGACTTTTGACCAGCTTGTAACGCTGTTGCGTGGTCATTACACGCCCATTCGCTTGTAAGTCGCGGAAAGATACCAATTTTATAGTGCAAACCAGAAACCGAGGCAAAGCATCGTGGAGTTTGGGAGAGAGTTAAAACGTCTCGCGGGAAAATGTGAATTCACCAACGTGCCCTTAAATGATATTCCACAGGGCAGATTAAGTATAAATTATTATAGGCCAACTTCACTTTTCAAGAAGCAGTGGACGCTGCAATCGCTCAAGAAATAGCCTAGGAGGATGTGCGACACTTTGGAGGAAATCCTTACGGTGAAAGTTCTTCGTCGGGCGTAAATCAGGTTAAGCGTGACAACTTGTGGTCACGCGGTCGCTCAGTGGGTCGACGTCACCAAAGGAAACGCTGTTTTCGCTGTTGGCTAGCCAACCACACCCCAGACAAATGCAAATACAAGAATTCTGAATGTTTAACTGCCATGTAACGGATCATAGTCTGAGTGTCGCAATGCAAAACCACCACCAAAAGAGATGGCGAGCAAACAACATGTACATCACACGGAACAGGATTCAGAAGCTGGACTGCAGGAGAACATGGGAGATGAGTTTCTTAGGTCCATTTTCACTCTGGAAGAGAGTTAGAAATTAGAGCTGAGTAAGTCAGGACTTTCAGCACCTGCTATGAAGGTCTCTGTACAGATTGAAGGCGTAGAATTCCTGATGGAGGTCGAAACGGGAGCGGCAGCTTCAATCTTATACTACACAGATTATGAGCGGTATTTCAAGTACCTTGCAGTGCTACCCAGTGGAAATATCATTCCCCTCTTATGCTGGTGCACCGCTGGACATTGCAGGACATATTGTATGCGCCGAACAATGGCTGTAATGCCTATTTATGCTCGTTATTTTCCTGTCATATTTCTAGCACTTTTTATGTCAACGTCTATTTTAGTCGACTTTTCTCGTCTTTTCAAAGTTTCTCTTTTGGAAGAAGCGACTTTAAGAGTTCACCAGAGCAGTTTCTTTCGCTTGAAGCGAAAGCTATTTGTGTCGCGGCTGGTGTGCTTATGGACTAAGCATGAATATCTTTGTTTTTTCTCTCCTGTTAAATTGAAATAACCGTCCATATGGATCTTGAACTAAATCCTGGAACAACTTCTTCATCTTCAAGGTCCAAATAGAAGCGGCCCTATCGTGGATGCCGGAGTGGAAGAACGGTCAGGGCGTGTGAAGTAACGAAGGTTTTTAATATTCAACCCGCCATGACACCTCGTCGTCACCAATTTTCATTTCATCCAGGATAGAATGACAACAATCTTGTTCGTATTCCGCTGATATCAAATCGGCCATGCTGTAGTCCACCACTATGTTTCGGTGTTTGGAATGCTCTCTCACTAAAAACCAAAGTATCGTCGCTAGGTGATCTTATGTTGTCTTGTAGTCTTGATCTTCTATCTGAGACTGAATCGTGGTTTACCTCAAACGATAGTATTACCATTGCCGACCTCACGAATTCACTTGAGGATTACGCTTTTCGTCACTTGCCAAGATCCACTCGCAGAGGAGGTGGACTTGCTGTTATCGCACGCAAAGGGCTTCATGTTTCGCGAAATTAAGCTGTATTTTTTCTTTGTTCGAACATTTTGATTTAGCTATCACCTCTGGTTACAAGTTTTTCGCCTTATGACAGTATATTGACCTCCACCGTCCAAGAAAAATGGCTTTACAGTAGAAAGGTTTTTCTCAGAATTCTCTGCGTTATCAGAGGAGTTGACTGTTACATTCTGTCAATTCCTTCTTTGTGGTGATTTCAACTTTCACGTCGATGTCGACTCAAATGTTAACGCCAAACAATTCTCTGACCTTTTTTTTCGGCTGATATGTCATCCTCTATGCGAGCTCATCGGGACCACATCTTGGAACTGGTCACAGAGATGTGAAAAAGCCGTTTGTGCTGTGAAATGCGCCCCAACGTCGGCGGCAGCTGTATTGGCGCACTTTAACCCTGAGTTCCCTGTAGAATTGTCGGTTGACGCCTCTTCATATGGTTTTGGCGCCGTTATAATGCACGTTTATCCCAATGGAAACCGTCGCTCCATTGCCTACGTGTCACAAACTCTGAACGAACACGACAAAGCATTCAGTTATGGCATCAGAATTGTTCCATCGAAGCGAAATGCAGTGGCTGATGCGTTATCACGACTGCCCTTGCCCTCTGCGTTTAACGCAGAGGATGCTATATATAGAGTGGAAGAACGTCTGGTTCACTGGTTAGCCATTACGCATAAGGAGATAAGGTACACCACACGGGTTGACCCAGTACTATCCAGCGCGTTAGAGTTTGTTAAACAAGGATGGCCACAACATGTGGAGGATCTTCGGTTACAACCCTTTTTCAACCGCCGACTTGAGTTATCAGTAGAGCAAGATTGTGTTCTGTGGGGGCCACGAGTAATCAAACCTACCCGGTTTTAGGAAGACTGGTTGGAAGAGTTGCATACAGGTCACCCAGGGATTGTACGGACGAAGGAAACGGCTCGTACTTACTTATGTGTGTTAAGCTTCGGCAGCTGTCAACAAGTTAGAAAACCATCTGTAGTGGCTCTTCTAACACCTTGGTTATGGCCGAGTAATCCTTGGTACCGAGTTCACGTTGATTACGCTTAGGACGAAAATGGGCATTACTCGTTTCTCGTTGACGCACATTCTTGCTGGCCTGAGATCTACTTCATGCGGCAAAACAGGTCAGCAACGACAACTATAGCCATTTTACGGGAACTATTCGCTAAATATGGATTGCCGGTGCATTGTACAATGGTCCTCAATTTTGAAGCGAGGAATTTGCGCATTTTATGAAAGTCAATGGCGTCAAACACATTCGTGTTGCTCCTTATAACGTAGCTAGGAATGGCATGGGAGAACGGATGGTTCAGTCATTCAAGAACCATATGAAGGCCTGCAAAGGTAGTAAACTGTCGATTCAGCAACATACTACCAACTACCTGTTGACTTACTGGTCAAGAAGGCATCCTACCACTGGCAGAACACCTGCTGGCCTATTCCTGGGACTAGAGTTACGCATCCGTTAAACTTTTCTTCGCGCAAGTGTTTGGGAAAAGCTGATGGATTCACAAGTAAAGCAGAAAGCAACACTTGACGCCTAAACTGAGTTTTGAGAGTTCTACACAGGTGACAGAGTCCTGGTTAAAGATCTTAGGGAAGAGTACGCTTAGTGGCCCGACTCCATGGCTGAGCGGAGCGGACCGAAGTATTACAGGTTTCTGCCAGTCATGTTGACGTAAGGCAGTCGACTACGTGATGTTTTACCCCAGTTTTGCTAGAAGGTAGGTTTCAACTCGGTTTACAGGTTCAAGTCATGACTGTTTTATAGTTCTATGTGCCACGCAGATAATGAAGGGTTTTGAGGGGTCAAAGAGGGGCAAAGGGAGGGGGTGGACGAACTTTGGCCTTATCCGTTCTTGTACTGAGGAAGAGGGATTCCAGGAGTTAAATCTGATGTGCGACTGAGAAAGGAGTAGAGTTTAAATGTAAACAACATTTGAACAATGTTAGTGGACAATTTTTTTTGCAAATTACGTCTGTCAAGACGGAATAAGCAAAAAACCTCTCCAAAGTCCTCCCCGTCTAGAGAATACCCTGGAAACTGCAGCAGATGCTCTCAAAACTATACTTCTTAATATCAAATTACTTTCGAATGTTTGAGTTTTTAGCTCTCCTTCGTTAATTATAAATTGCGTCCATCTGTACAAATTTTGCATTTATAAGGATTGATAACAGTGGGAGCTGAATATCTCTTAAAATTTTGAACCGATATTCGCGAAATATGTTTGGATTTGGATCCTATCATCATGGACTTCAGTGTTCTACACGCATGGTTGGGTCTATGTTAGTTGCCTAAAATTATTTGTCTTAAAGACGTTAGATGCTATTTACTTACAGCCGAGTCAAATTAATGTTGTTGTTGAAGCCCCCCAGTGGTACCTCTACTATATGATTGTGATGTAAGAACCAACGTAAAGGATATATAGTCAAACCTCTCTTAAGCGGCACCTTATAAAGCTGTCACCCTGTATTAAGCGGTCGTATAATATCCGCCTCTACTTATTAAGCGGTCGCGGTCATTCTTTACTGAGCCCCAGTGTGTATTGTCATTCACCTGTATTGAACAGTCACTTAAGGGAAACCACCCTAATAAAACTAAGAAAAATAGTTTATGCATGAGGAGGACTTTTCACTTGCAGCCATAACAGCTCGACCAATTGGGAAA